GATACCACGTGAACTATCGTGTGATATTTAACAATTGGTTCATGCTTAGTTCGCATGTATCGTCTGAGTATCCAAAGCTATTTTCGTCGCTTGAAAGAGCCTATTCATTCATTGTTTTTTAATAGATTCTCGTTTGTTATATTGAATAATCATTTTAGGCGCCAAGGGTATGTCTCGATCGCCACGGACAGAAAAACAATATCTAAAATTTTGAAGCCTCGAGGCCAAATTCTACGGAAACTTTTCAGCAAAGTGAAACTGCACACGTCAATATATATAAAAAACCGTGGTGGCTCATTAGGAATTAGATAAGAATTACGGGTGCACTGCATACAACGTGGCATATACTCTGTTATCTTAGTCTAACGTGCAAAACCAAGATAAGTGGTTATAACCATGGAAAATAAAGATAAACACTATCTTTTCTACAACATTCTTCGAGGGAACTACCTGATTTCGTAAACTTTAATTTTATGCAAAATTTAAAAGAAGTTTCAAAGCTTTTGAGATAAAAGTGATCATTCGACTCCTTGTTAGATTTGAGACTGTTTATAGCCTATGCAACTCATTGATTAGTAATCCGTTTATTCAAACAAAGACGCACTAATGGATGTGATAAAAAAATGTTATCTCTTATTTTAATCAAAATACCACTTGGATAAGGCACCATTTAATTATTCAATGTTATGCTAAAGTCAAGATCAAAAACAAAAACAGAAAAAGGGACCCTTGAGGGGAGCACAAGGACACAAATGATTACATAATCAGATTATTCGGTTTTTAATAAACTGAGTTGAGAACGTGACTTGGCTGACAAAGGACCAACGCTCGAGAAACATCTTTTTTAGAATGGCTCTTGGGTGAAAATTCACATCATCGACTCAGTTGATAAAAGTAAATATTAAATACCTTGATTAAAGAAAGAGCTCTAATGAGGCAAAAAATTTGGTGCTCTTTAGCAGAGGAAACGATTTACGCAACTCTGGTACTTGAGGCACTGAAGTGAAAACAATTGTCTGCAAAGTCAATGGTAGAGACTAGTTACAACGTGATACGTTGACACGTGCAGGACTGTGACTGCAAATTGCAGAAACACTCTTCATTCTTCATGTGTTTTAAAGGTTAATCGTATTATCATCTCTCAGGTCTTCTGGTCAAAGGTCTAATGAAGTTTGTATACAACAGTACATGAGAAACGTTGTGTGGTCTTCAAATTGTAGAAATAGGTGTACAATATAAAATAACCTTAACATTGAAGTTGGTAAAAAAAAACACGGCGCCACATCCCTCCAAGTGTTGTTGTTGAGATCTTGCCTGTTTTGTCTTGCCTGTTTTTTGGAGCGATATATTTGTACGTCATACTGAGCTTATGATTGGCGAGTGCAAAGTTTATAAGCCAGCAAAATTTCCGTAAAATAGTTCCATAACATACCTTCCTATAACCGAAGTCAATCAAGTCGCTTCCCAGCGGATAAAATGTACAATTTATTCGTTTGATAAAATATCATCACTGTTAAGTTCGGATGACGCGAGAGCAAAAACGTAAAAGCAAGGGAGCTGAAATGGTCAGTCCGACATCAGCACAAGAACCAGGAGAGCAAACAACGGTATGACAGCTGATATGTACAACTGAACTTTCGAGTTGCGATAGTTTAAGACGTTTTTCGAAGCTTATCGCACAATTGTTCATTTCGCAGCTCACATTTTCCGATGGCCAAGTTCGCGATTTGCTTGAGGAAATGGGGACATACTTGGAAGGTCATTTAGCGATCTTAGACAATGTGAGTTCTACAGGTAGCTGTTAAACGACATAAAATATTATGCGAAAATTCTGTGTGTTTTACCTATAGTCAAAGAACGCCAGGGTCGGTTCAAATAATTTGTTTCTTTTTCAGACAAAACCACTGGATGACCACCTGGCAAGATGGTAAGTACTGAGAGCGAAATTTTGTAAGTTGAATTTTTCAGTTCAAGACTGAGCTGCCTTCGTATATAAGCAAAGGAACTCAAATAATGCTATCTGTCCACATTTAACAGGGACTGATTCGTAATCCTGGCAGTTCGCTTTTTGTCGGAGCAGCCGACCGTGCAATAAATTCTGCAAAGGCCAGGTAGATAGAGATAGATAGATAAATAGATAGATAGATAGAGCAGGTAAATGTTTGTTTAGTGTTTACTGTTGTCGAAAATTTTCTGATCCACGTTTGTTTGAAGTTTCATTCTTTCTAAAAAAGTTACTGTTCTTCCCGTAGGGTCCGGAATATCCCGAGGTCCAACCGAGTAACTGAATAAATCTGCTTGTTTTTTGGCTCCAGTTGTCTGTTTACTGTCTCCATTAATTTGAATTTACCAGGGGTTTTACGCCGCTTTCGCTACTTGTCGAGTTCGCGATGTTCGAGTTCGCTACATGTTCGCTACACACATATCGACCCAGTACACTACCTTGGAAACATACTAATAGTTTTATCGTGTTCTAATGGCCAACGTCTTGTTCATTTTTTACAATCTAATCTATCGTTGCGGTATATAGTATCGTAGTAATTGACGTGTTAATCCGGAGTACGTGCGAAAACTGGGATAAAGCAGCCTGCACGAGTGGATCGTTGTCGAATAAAGTTTTAAGTTGTCTTTTCCGGTGTTTCATTCAATGGTTTATTTCAGAATAGAAACGACAATATTTGTTCGTTTGACATAGGATTCCAGCTTAGTTAGTGTTTGAAGTGTCATGTCACTTTCAATGAAGAGAGCGGTCCGCTCTTTAATATTTAGTGTTATTGTTCACTTATCACACCTTGAAAATTTACTTTGCTCAACTTACCGGTACTTATTAGTATAAATACACAAGAAACTGCATATTTAGTAAGGCATGAAAACCACACCAGTGTTTCTCTTGAGTTATGAGATCTTTGCCACCGTCATTGTTTATATTTTTCTCAGTTCATGTAAATAGCATACTTCAGTTTCGTGGAAAAGTACTCGATTTGACTTTCGAAATACGCGGGGCCGTCCCTAAATATGGTGTTACAAAAATGAGTTGTTAAATTTTTTATCGCAATAAAATTATCGTAATTGTTCCCTTCTGGTCCCAATCATCTTGTTTTGGTTTTCCAAGTAAAATCATCAGACGGTTAACTTTACTTAACAAGAGTGAAGTTGGCCATGAGCTTTTATCACGATTGGTGGCTTCTAAAGAAGCCTTTTTTATAACGCAGCTTTCTGTTCACTGCAAATTTCCGGCGAAACAACTCTTCGTGAACTTTACTTGAACTCTTTCCACTGGACGGGAACCCGTCTTGCGGCCGTGCTCGTCTAGGAAGGCAGGCGTCTTTCCAAGAAACAGCTTCAGGTGTACAGGAGCGTCGACCTAACAACCACCCCCTGTTACAGTCAGACATTTTTTCAGAGAAGAACCAAGGCCTGCTGCTATCAGCTCCTCTTTACTGACGAGGTATGGACTCCCCCCGGAGATCCGACGGCAACCCAGGAAAGATCGCTCGCAGCACATCGTGCAGTAAGGGGATTGTTTCGTTCCGAGCCAGGGGCATTTTTAAGCCTTTCTCGAATAGTACAGACAATCTCTCTTTACGTTCATCAGCGTGAATTGGATCGACAGACCTGTTCTCGAAGGCAGCGATAAGATCTTCCGGCAAATGTTCGGCTGGTTCCCAGGTATTTTCACTAGGGGAGTAATTCTGCCAATGGATGAAGTATTCTGTTTTTCTTCCTTTAACTCGTTTTGCAACAATGCGCTCTACTTCGTAAATACCCATTACAGTTGGCTTTACCTTCGGACGATATTTTGAATTACAGGCACGATCGCAAACATTATTCAGTAACGTTGCGTAAAAGCCTGGCTGATGTCTCGCACGCTTCAACAGGTTAACTCAAAGGTAGTAATTATCAACTGTCCTTTTCACATGTTTTGATTTGTCAAAACGGATCCAAGTGTGATTAATTAACCGACTGTTCCCTCAGGCGCGAAGCTGTTTCAGGTGGTCGCTTATTTGTTTTTTTTTTATCTCTTGATGTTTTTGTAATCCTTAATTCTTCTTTCCTTTCGAGAACAAGAAAGACTAACTTCTAATAACTATTAAGTCATTAAAAAAAAAAATCATCGGAGTAGAAAAGTGCGCGTTTCAAGGAAAAACAAATTAATTATGCATCGCACTGCTTAGAATGACCCTGAATGATTAAGCAGTTTTCTCACGCTTTCAGATCTATTATCCGGGCCCCTCTTGCGAACAAGTATGCCCCCAGAATAAATTAACGCAAAACAATTCGCTGATTGAGCACCGCTATTTCTAGTCCCCTGCCGCAGCCTTTCAAACTCGAAAAGAAAAAGGGGCCGCCAGATGGCAGGTTCTAAACCGCCGGGTCGACATGAAACAATTTCGATAATTCAGATAAAGTTTTGACCAACAGGAGTTTGTTAGTCGTCTATCGTCGCACACGAATCTGCAAACGCTTTGTGAACAGTGCGGCAGGCCTTTAATTAGTGTGCTAATGTTAACTCTATCGCACCTTGGGGACTGACATCACGCACCAAACCGTTTGATTG